GCTTAGCTCCTTTTTAGTCGGTGGTTGTAACTAGCTCCAAACATCATCCCTACCCCAGGCTTCCAGGTCCCACCTGCCTGAAGCTGAGGGCTGCCAGGCACAGTGCAGGCTCCGCGGGCTTGGTGTTGGCCTCGCTCTGGTCTTTCATGTCAGATTTCTCTGCTGGCACTGAGTCTGCAAGGGATGGCCCTCGTGATGGGAGCCATCCACCTCCCTTTGGACTTTGGACATAACTTCATTGGATTCTCTCCTCCTCTTCCCTCTGACATCTTCTCTCTTGGTCGTTTGGTTTGTAATCCAGGGACAAGACGTCCTCTGACTCAGACTGAGTGATGCTCACCACTTGGCCTCACCAGGCCTTAACAAGTCTTTTTGAGCTTCCCATCTAAGGGAGAGAGAAATTCAGGATGTTGGCCCAGCCCTCCCCTAGGTCAGCATCACCTCTGCTAGAGGAAAGGTTTTTCCCGAGCCCCTTCACACCCAGAATCATCAGCTCTCCTTCCATGCTGGGCAAGGACTTTGGGGGCAGAGAGTCAACTTGTCATAGTAAGGCAGTGAGAGGTCATGGCTAGCAGAAAGTGAACTATGTGACTGCGTGCTAGCTAATTCTGCATATGCCATTAGGGACTGTCAGAGGTAAAGGTTCATAGAAGGTTAGCCCCAGAAAGGAGCTGGGAGACCATCTAGTGCCACCACCCCCCATTTTACAAATGAGGCAAATGAGGTCTAACGTAAGTAAAGCTTCATAAGAATTAGGTCCTCCAAGAGGCAGATGGACTGCTTTGGGAAAGTAAGGAGTTACCCGTTGCTGGAGATCTTCAAGAAAAGGCTCTCTGACTTGTCAGGGATTCCACAAGGAGAGATGCTTGGGTTTGGAGAGCCATTGTGACTCCATGCTCTGGGTGCCGTACTTAGCAGAAGGGAGGCCTCATCCAGAACAAGGGCAGGATGTCGGCCGTGCTGCTGGGAGGTGCCTGCTCCTGATGGGGGACCCCAGCATGGCCTGCTTTGCTTACCCTTCATGGGAAGGGGGTGAATAACCAGGTGGAGGGTGCTGGACCCTCTGAGGTAGCCGGACTTTTCTGTTGTGGCCTTTCTGATGTGCCACCAGCTTTCCCAGAGAAAAACTCAAATCTGTCCCAAGAGGCAAGAGAAAGGAGGAAATGCACGGCTGTTGTCTCTGTCTTTAATGGGATGAGCAGGGTGCTAAGGATCGATGTGGACGCTGTGGGAAAAGAGCCCAGTGGAGCCGAGCCGAGTCTTCGGTCAGCAGAGAAACGCCAAGCTCACATTAAGCAGGAGGGCAGAAATCCATCTTGGCCACAGACGGCCATCCAGTAAACATCCTGGTTCATGTTCACAGCCAGAGCCCACCTTCGTCCCCTGGGGCTCAGCCTTCGAGTTCACTGTGGCAACCATTCAGATTGAGCATTTATAAATGTTTATAAAGGAAGCCTCCTTTGGTCGGAGATGCTCTCAGCCTCGAACCTTCTTTCCCAGGGACTGTGGATTTGCTCCGAGCAGCTCCTATCTCCCCTGCTGACTTCACTCCCTCCCCTTTGGCTTCCTTCCCAGAAGGTAGCGGCTTCCCCATGAAGCTGCCTTGCAGGCCAGGCCCAAAGAGGACAGTAGCTCCCAAGCTCATGTGGCCTCCGTGGGGGCGGCCCTTGTCAGATTTGGAGGCCCCTGAGGCAGGGCTTTTGAGTCATCCCCCCCGGGGAATACCGCTGGATGTGTTCAATTTGCTGTTTTAATGCACAGCTTTTCCCAGGTATCTCATATGTGAAAATCGTGAAAATCATGTCTGCCTGAGAGGCAGAGGCTGCAGCGGTAGCTTGGGATCAGTGTAACTGAAAGCCGTCCAACCGTGGAGAAGGTGACATTGGGCCATGCAAGGTCTTCCCCGCTGGCCTTCGAGCAGGGCTGGCTGGAGTCTGAGCCGTCATGGGTGTGAGAGAGGGGAACAGAGCAGCGCAGGGGACCAAGGGACCTGAGGGGTCCCTAGTCAAAGCTCCTCAGGATACAGATGAGGACACTGAGGCTGGCAATCCCTGCCCTGCCTGTCCCGGAGGGTTGTGCCAAAGCTCAGCAGAGGTAATGACTGCCATATAAATATTATTTTTATTTCCCTTGGAACCCACAGCTAGTGGCTCCAGTGTTCCAGGCTGCTGCTTCTTTTTCTGAGGTCCATCCTAGCCTCAATCCAATTCATAAACTTCATCCTTTATTATTCTCTTGTGGCTTCTCCATCCCAGCCAGACTGGTCTTCTTCCTGCTCGATATGTAATGGAGAATCCTCCTAGAGTCTAGGGCCAGGATCAGGGGAGCCTCAGTCTACCCCCCATATGCCCTGGGGTGATAGGAGCCCTGGGGGTCTTCGAGCCAGCACTGGGTGTCCACCTGTTGGGTCGGGGGTGACCAAGGAGGCGCTCTTTTGGTTCTGGTCATCCTGGCTGTCTCTGCTGTCTGGGATTCTCCCAGAAACACGCAGTCTTCCAGCCTAGGCCCTGGGCCTCCTGGCTTCTCACTTCTGAGGGCGTTGCTTTAATTCCCAGGATGTTTAGGCTTAGTTAGTAGTCTCACAGAGCAGATTCTTGCTCAGTCCAGCATGGGCTCAGTGAGCTCTGAGGTCCCTTTCATCCCCTTGGATGGCCTGGGGTCTGGGTTTGGGCTGTGTCCTTAAAAGTTGAGATACAAGGGGCTGAGACTCCCTCCTTCCTGGTGAATCCTCGGGGCTCCAGAAAAGGGGATCCCCCTCATCGCTGTGTGTTATACCAAGAGAAAGGGGAGGAATTCCCGGGACAGCCTGGGACCAGAAAACAGCATCTGCCTCCTCTGGATTCCCTCCCGGGTTTATAGAGGTGCAGAATGTCTGTCCCCAATTCTAAGTCTCTTAGCAGTAGCTTCCCAACTCCCCATCTTGGGCCAGCTCTGGCACCTCTGAGACCTTGGCCTGTGGCATTCCTAGAGCAGCCTCCTAAGCCCACCCCTCTGGTCTTCACTCTGAGTTTCTGGTTGAAGGCTGTGTGCATGCCTTAGGTGTGGGGAGGGTGGAAGAAGCCAAGATGCTGTTCTCCAGGAGTTTGGCCAGCAGGTGGCACTGCAGGGTCACCCACAGCCAACAGGTGGAAGAAGAGCCTGGGGATAAAGATGAATTCAAACATTTATTAAGCACTCACTGTATACTAGGCAGGTCATAAAAAAGTGATAGATGATCCTACCTCTTCCCATGAGATAATACGTGTAAAGTTCTTTGCAAACCTTGGAGCACTCGGAAAATGCTGCGGATGTGGAGATGAGTAAATCTGAGGCTTCAGGGTGGGGTGTAAAGGGCCTGTGCTCCAGGCCATGCTGTGGTGATCTGCCTGACCTCAGTTTTGTTCTGTAGAATGGGCGGATGATTGCTAAGGCCCCTCCCAGCCCCTCTGGGGCTTGGTTTGCTTCTCTACAAATGAAGGGAAAATCTCCAGGGTCCTTCCAGCTCTCAAACCTTGGTCCATTTGGAAGAGATTGACACCTGGGGGATCAGGGAAGACTTCACAGAAGAAGTGTGCAGAACAGCTTGTGCAAATACATGGCAGGTGGAGATGAAATGGGCTCAGGAACAGCTGACATCCCAGTTTGGCTGTAACAGGAGGGAAGGCTGCAAAGACAAGCCAGCGTCGGCCTTTGGGGCAGTAACTGCGGTCTGAGGGAGGGGTGCTTTGTTCTAGAGGCACTAGGGAGCCATGGTGGGAGGGGGAATGATGCCCTTAGAGCAGTGCCTCAGGGAGGCAGCTGTGCCAACGAGGCACCGGAGAGGCAGGAAGACCAAGTAGGAGACAGTTACAGTGGTCTAGGACAGGCAGCTAGGGGGCGCCATAGTGCACAGAGCGCTGGACCTGGGGTCAGGAAGACTCAGGAGTTCCAATCTGGCCTCAGACACTTACTCCACATACGTGGAGTGGGCTGCTTCAGGGGGCATAGACTCCCTCTTGTTGGAGAGCTGGGACCAAAGAGTGAGTAAGCAAGGGCCTTTTAGGTGTGCTTTAGAGGAGATTCCTGTTCTGGTGTATACTGGACGAGATGTGTTGAGGGGCCTTTCATCTGAGATTCTGTGAAAGATCTATGAAACTATTTTAGTCACTCCAAGGTTGAGCCTAGAGGCCCCAAGACTTCCATCAAACCTGAAAAGACCTCCCCAATCTTTCAGTAGAACATTCACCTCCTCACCCATCCACCCACCTGCCCACCCATCCATCCATCCATCCATCCATTCATCAACCCACCCATCCATACATCCTTCTAACCATCTATCTAATCATCCATCCACCCATACATCCATCTAATCATCCATCCATCTACCCACCCACTCACCCACCCATTCATCCATCCATCCATCCATCCATCCCATCCCTCTTTCATTCATTCTATATGTGCAGACATCCATCCATTCTCCTGTTTCTCCATCCATCCACCCACCCACTCATGCCTCCATCTCTCCCATTCAGTAATGTGATGAATTGTTCTTTCCTTGACCAACAAAAGGTACTCAGTGATTTGCCTAAATCCATATTTTTACCACAAGAACAGTTTTTTTAAGTCAATATATTTATGTGTTAAGTTGAAATTATTTTAACAATGTAATTGTACAGCTCAGTTCAAGTGCTTGGTTTAAAAACAAAACCAAACAGAACAGAGCAAAACATGCCTCTTTCTTACTCCTATTGGCCTTGAATGTCAGGGAGGAAAGGAAGGCATTCTTCCATCCCTGGGCCACTGAGAGCTCCAGTGCTCTCAGTGGGCCAGGCAGGGCTCTGTAGCATGGAGGGGCTGACCAGTCTCTTGGGGGCAGCTTGGTGGGCTCCCACGGTTCTTGCTGCCTACTAGCTGTGGGGCCTTGCGGGATCCCCTCCCTGGGGTGCCATTTCTTTTTCTACAGAATTAGGCTAATGAAGCTGGGCTCCCTCCCAGGGCTGTCCTCATTACTGATCCCCTGCATCTTCTGGGTTGCTTTGCAGATCCACGATGGACCCCACGGGCCAGCCCCTGCTGCTCAGTGTTAGCGTGGCCCTCACTGCCATTGCCGCCGAGGCTTCTATAAGCAACGAGACCACACCCTTGTATAATGAGACTACTACAAGTAAGTTCTCCCCTGTCCACTGGACCCTCCTTCTGCAGGGATGCCCCCAAGGGCAATTCTGTGTTCCCTTTTTTTCTTTTCTTTTTTTTTTTTGTGAGGCAGTTGAGGTTAAGTGACTTGCCCAGGGTCACACAGCTAATAAGTGTCAAGTGTTTGGTCTGAGGCCGGATTTGAACTCAGGTCCTCCTGACTCCAAGGCCGGTGCTGTATCACCTGTGCCACCTAGCTATCCGGTGTTCCCTTTCTAAGACCTTCAGGGGCGTCCTGCCCTTGGGTACAACCACAGGGAAAAGGTGAGTTATTTTCACAGTAGAAGGTGCCAGGCTCTGCAGCACTTCTTGGAGCAGAGGTAGTGTGTCCCAGAACAGTAGCCAGGGAGCATTAACTAAGAGTGGAGAGGTCATTCATTAACAGACCAGCTGCTTTTCAGAGTTTGTGGCTATGAAAGTCACATTAAAGCAAACAGGGCTTCCATACTGTTCTGGAGGAGAGCCCAGAGGGAGCCTGGGTAGTGAAGGCTCTGCCTCCCAGCAGTGGTGTTGCCCTGCTTTTCGTGGGGGAGGGGACATGATGGAATGGGGTCTCTGCAATCCATCCTCCACCCAGCTGCCCAAAGAATCCCCCTGAGGCCCAGGCTTTAAACCTTTACTGGCTCCCACAGATAAAACAGAGACTAGATATTCTGGGATTGAAGGCCTTGTACAGGCTGTTTCTAACCCACCTTCCACAGACCTGGGCTCGAATCCTGCCTGAGACAACAGCTCCAGTGACCTGGACAAGGCATTGAATCTCCCCCTCAGCCTCAGTTTCCTCATTTGTAATATGGGGAGGATAATAGCCCCTGTGTCCCAAGGTTGCTGTAACAATCAAATGAGATATTTATAAAGTGCTTTGCAAACCTTAAAGCACAATAGAAATGTTAGAGGTTATGATCCTATATTACTTCCTTTCATGAACTGATCATTCTGTCAGTCAATAAACATTATATTGAGCACCTACCATTTGCCAGGTACTGTGCTAAGGACTGGGGATACAAAAGAGGCAAAAGACAGGCCCTGCCCTCAAGGGGCTCACAGTCTACTGGGGGAGATATCACACAAACAAATATATGCAATCTACAGACAGGATAAATAGGGAAAAATTAACCGAGGGAATTAAGGGGGGGGCGGGAAGGCTTCCTGTAGGAGGTGGGATTTTGGTGGGGACTTAAAGGAAGCCAGGGAGGTCAGTGGTCAGAGAGGAGGAGGTACCTCCCAGGCCCAGGGACGGCTGGAGAGAATGTCCACAGCCACGAGATGAAGGTCTTATTCATGGACCAGCCAGGACGCCGGAGACACTGGATTTAGGAGTCTGTGTTGGGGAGTGAGGTGTGGACTGGGCAGGGAAGGGAGGGTGGGTACAGACTTCTACAGAGCACGACAGTGCTGAGGATGTGCTTACAAATATTGTCCCATTTGATCCTCACTATACTGGGAGTAAGGGCTGTTATCACTGCTTTACAAATGAGGAAACAGAAGCAAACAGAGATCAAGTGACTTGCCCAGGGTCCCCCAGCTAGTAAGTGTCTGAGGCTGGTTTTGAACTCAGGTCTGACTGCTGGGCTCTGACTATTGACTTCCCTGGCTAAACATGCGTCAGCTATCACAAAACCTCCCAGGAGCTGGGCAAGTGTGCCCTCCAGTGGTGGATGCAGAGCCATCCATAAAGGGAGATGCAGGTTTACTGTCATGCCCGTCCTGGAATGCGTGCTGTTCTCAGCTGGCATCTGCGCCTCGTCAGGGTAAGCAGCCCTGTCTGGACGACCTTCAGGCATGGGCAGCTCCCTCCCTCCACAGGTAACCCATCCCGCATCTCATCCTTAGGAGGCTTTCCCTCCCATGGAGCCTACATTCCCCTCTCAGCCCCTCAGCTTATCTTGCTCCTCGGCATTTTCTCTGGGACCCAACAGAACCAGGCAGGTGTGGCCTGATGTGGTGAAGAGGGTCCTGGGATTTTACAGATAACGGAGCCTGGGTCACACAGCTAACAAGGATGGGGCAGAGATGGGACTGGAGCAATAGCCCTTCTGCCTCCCAAGGCAGCACTCACTAGCCTCTGTAGCCTAACACCTGAGACCTGGAATCAGGAAATGTTGGGTTCCAGCCCTGCCTCGCAGGGGGCTTTGGACGAGTCCTTCATGCGCTCGTCCTCCTCTGTGAGATGGAACTGAGAATCAGGCTCACCTCCTGGGATAGTGGTGGGAACTGCAGAGACGGTGAACACGAAAGCACAGCCCAGAGGCCAGCCGTTACTGTTAGGGGGTGGCCAGGAGCGTACAGACCCCTGAGGTCCTGGGGGAGAGGGAGGGAAAGCCTTTCTCTCTTCTCTCCCATTCTGCTGACCTTTTGGGACACCTCCCAGTGAAGTTTCAATGGAGCCTTTTATCCCAGAAGAGAATGGAATTCTGCGATTCTGGGCTGGGGCTGGAGACCACGTCCAATCCAAGCCCCCAAAAGGAGTGTGAGCGTTACCCCTTTCCTCAAGGTCTGCCCAGGCTAGGACCAGCTGGTCCACCAGATGTTTCTGTAGCTTGAGCTATGAAGACTGAGGCTTTCTGTCTGGGGTAGCCAATGAAAAAAAGGCATAAAATCTTACCTGGCAACCAGGTAATAAGAAGATGACAGGAAGGAAGGAAGGAAAGAAGGAAGGAAGGAAGGAAGGAAGGAAGGAAGGAAGGAAGGAAGGAAGGAAGGAAGGAAGGAAGGAAGGAAGGAAGAGAGAGGAAGGGAGGGAGGAAGGAAGGGAGGAAGGGAGGGAGGAAGGAAGGGAGGGAGGGAGGAAGGGAGGAAAGAAAAGGGAGGGAAGAGAAGGAAGGAAGGAAGGAAGGAAGGAAGGAAGGAAGGAAGGAAGGAAAGAAAGAAACAAGAATTTATTAAGCACCTACTATGTACTAGTGGCTGGGCTAAGTGCTTTACAAAGATGATCTCGTTTGATCCTCACAACTATCCTGGGAGGTTTTACAGATGAGGAAACTGAGGCAGGCGGCGATTAAGTGACTTGCTTAGGGTCACACAACTAGGAAGTGTCTGAAGTCAGTCAAAGGCCCTGCAGCAAGTGAGTTAACCTGTGTCTTAGCCTGGCTTTTCTCATCTGTTAAGTGAGAGTTCTGGGCCAGGTGCTTCCGGCTCTTCATCTATGATATTATAATTACCACATTAACTAATGATTAAAACACTTCCAAGGGGGAGGAGGAAAAGATCAAAGCAGAGATTCGTCTTCTACTAGAATCGTGATGAACGTTAGATCTTAGAACTCATATTCAGCCCATTTTACTGATGAACAGACTTGGGCCCAGAATCATGGAGTGACTTTGTCCCTTGACTAATTGGTGGAGTCAGGACAGGGGAGAGCTGGTCAATGTTTAACAACTGGCTCTCTTTTTAAAAAATGTGCGTACAACAAACCTTCAAGTTTAATTTGCATTCGCATTTTCTCCATCACTTTCTTGAGTCCAATCAACAAAACAAAAAATCAAGCCCTGATTTGTGGGTTTGACAATTTCTGAGGTGTAAATGATCACAGTGGAAAATTTAACAACCGGCTTTCCCAAGCTGGTGTGGAGCTGGCTCCAGCACGCACCCTTAACAGGGTCCCCTAACACCCAGCACATGTTCTTTCCAATCCTCGGGTGCAGGGACCAATGAAATAGGGGAAGTTTCTTCAAATACATCTTCTGTCTTCCCCCCACCTCCTCTGATGAGAGGTTCGTGTCTGGATTTCAGCCAGATGCTTGACAGTCTCATGACATCCTTGTGAAGGAGCTGGCGGCACAGGTGTCAGGGGATGATCTCATTAGCAGATAGAACAGCCGGCCCCGAGGGCTGAGGGACCCAGGGGGAGGGAGGGGAAGTCCCTGGTGGGCCGCCATAGAGGAACGCTCGGCTGGTCAGAGGCCGGTGTCCAAGGCTGGGAACCCTCTCGGTGCCTCTGCGGATCATCTTCCCTGGGGTTCTCCACTTCTGAGCCTCAGTTTCCTCACTTGTAAAATAGTGTTAACAACACCTGTAGCAGCACCTACTTCAGGATGGTTTTGAATTTCAAATGAGATAATTTATGGGAAATTTTTTGCACCAAAGCACGGCGGATATTTCAGCTGATTTTATTCACTCCAGAAAGCAAAACCAGTGAGCAGACCCAGAGGTCTTAAGCTTTTTTTTTGCACCATGGATCCCTTTGGTAGTGAGGCTGGTTAAGCCTGGGTCTCCCTTCCGGGCACAAGAGTTGCATTTGTTTGTTTAATTCATAATTGAATAAAACGCTGCATTTCCTTGAGAGATTAGCGAAAATGATTCCCCACCTCACCCCCATCCAGGATGAGACCCCTTGCAACTTATCCACAGTCTGTGAACCCCAGGCTACAAACAAACATGGCTCAACATAAGAAAAACCTTGCTAATCAGTATCAGAGTAACTTCAGAATTGAAAGCCTGGCTGTCTGCAGTAATGAGATTCCCGTCACTGGAAGGAATTCAGAGGGTGGCTGCAGACAAGGAGTGGTAGAAAGTTGGAGAGCTGGCTTCCAAGGTGGCAGACAGCTCGAAGATGATCTGATCCTATGAGTGAAGCCTTCTCTGCCTCCTCGGGACCTCTGAACTCTCCGATGCTGGCGAGAATCCTGGAATCCCAGAAGGCAGGAGATGGGATCTCCCAGCCCAACTCCCTTGCCTAGAGGGCTGCGAGCTACCGAATGGCTGGCTCTGTTCTTATATGTATGTGTGGAGGGGCTTCCAGCCAGCAGGGCTCTAGCAGTGGGCTGAGACCTTCCAGCTAAGCCAGGATGGTCCCTGGTGGGGGTGCACACACACTCAGCTCTGCCACCCCTCTTCCCTAAGTCCTGACATGTCAGGGGAAGTCGTAGAAGAAGGGTTTGTTTACCAGTGTGACCTGTCGCTGGGGAAGCGGGGCCCATGCTCAGGATTAGCTTGAGAAGGACTCAGCCTTTCAGTGAGAGTGCCATGGGG